CTTTGTTATCTCACAACTAAAACCATGAAATCTAAATCAGTCTCCACAAAATCAATATCTCTCAGATTACACCGGTTATGTGGGTTTACTCCGGTATTGTTGAACATAGCATCAATCTTGGTCAGACCTCCAGATTCCATTTCCATCGCATGGAGTGAGACTAACTCTTGGACACTCGTACTTCTCAAGAAAGGTCAGTTTTGGGAAGTAGAGTTGCTTCAGCTCTATCCATCCAACTCTTAGCTTAGGGAGTGACGTGAGACGCAAGACTTCAACAGCACATTTTGTAGGCTCCTCCGGTAAGTACTTACCGAAACCCTTGAGTTTTTTTCCTCCTCCAATACAGAGCTTCTTCAAGTGAATCAGTTTCTCCGGATAAAACCATTCGGCAAGTTCTTCGTCTGGGAAACGCTGAAGATTCAGCTTCTTTAACTGAACACCAACCCCATTAGGGACAGGATCCTGAGCAGGGGTGGCAGGGACACGGACCCCAACAGTGGGCTTGCGACGGGGGGAGTCCGGATCCCTACACCATGTCACTTTCAAGCTTGTCAACGCGTTGAGATTCTCAAGATCGAGCATCAACTGGCGCACACTGAAATTATCTTGCTTTATTTCGATGCTGAGCTTTCTTAGTTTCGGCTTCAAATAAATCAGCTTGCACGCAACACGCTCAGAGAAAGCATCAGTAACAACAAATCCCTTGAGAACCTCTAAGTTGTTCAATAAAGACAACCTGGAGGGAATCCATTTCAACCTAGAGCAACCTGTCATATCCAAGTAGACCAGATTCTTGAGGTAATCAATCTTATCTGGAAGTTCCGTCAGCTCATAGCACTCCCTGAGGTCTAAGACGATTAGCTGGTGTAAATTACACAACGACCTGTTTAGGCTTTTAATGGTCGAGATCCCTTGAAGACTTAGCACTTTTACTTCCCTTACGTATCTTAAACATTCCATAAGCTCATGATTATGTACCTCGATTTGACGTTTCTGACTTCTTTCCCATCTCCCCAAATAAAAGACATTGAGTGACTTGAACAAAGGTTCTGGTGAAGAATTCATCGTGAATCCTCTGAGTCTGCGTGGATCTCTCGAGAACCACTTGATTGCGTAATCAGGGTTTCTCTCGGAAACATTGAACACTGTTTCGATATCCTCTGATGGCCTTTTCCTAGCAGTTGCCTCTCGCTGGATTGCCGACTCTTCCACAATAAATATTTTTTCCTTATCTGACATATGCATGCTTGGCCTACACCCTTCACCGTAAATATCAAAAACTCCAATCTGATTTGAGAGCAGAACAACTGAAGAATGCACAAAAGGTGTCATCTTATAGCTGCTTGGAGCCACTTTGCGCCTCTCTTCAACGGGCTCGACCAAATTTTTCTCAGTGAATTCCTTAAGAACTTCCCTTACAGCTTCTTCAGCTCCTTCGACGGGTAGAATCCCCTCTCCTATCCACCAATACATCAATACTGTTCTATGAACCTCTCTGTTCTCTGGGAACACAGCGAAACTCAAAAGACAGATCTTCTGTTCAATCTCAAGCTCCATAAATTTCTGTTTCACTCGTCTAAAAGCCTCGCATTTGATGAGACCTTCCACGTTTGTATGTATGCCAGGGAGGTAATAATAGCCCTTGTCTCCATCATCCTGGCTTTCTGACAATAAGGGAAATTGGGAAAACAAGCCAGAAATCTTCCTCTCAATGCCTTCTAAGTCAAGCTTTATCAAAAACGCAAGTTCAGAAGAAAACCCAAAGTAATTCAAATCTTTAATCAGTGACTGAAGGGTAACAAGATGTTTATCCAGCTCTGCTCCTATATCTGTTTGAAATTGCTCCAGCTTTCCAAGATTCCGTTTGAGGAGTCGGAAATGATGTTGTAGCATCATAACTAGTTTGCCATCAGATGCAACATGAGTCCAAGCATAAGGATCACTGAGAGTCCTTGATAAAGTCTTAAATGTTTTACTTCTCTCAGTAATACCTCGTTTCTCCTCCCATTTGTCTAATGTAAGCAAGGTCTCCAAGATCTTATCGACTTTATCCTCTAGGGTATTTCCTGATTGATGTGCCTTTATGGAAGCCATGACATGAGAAGGCTTATTCGATAACGGTAAAACTTCTCTCCCCAAAGCTCAAAGCAAAGAAACCGAACCCATCTAGCCTGAAAATCTTGAAAGCAATCGAAAAGAAAAGAAGAGAAGCCATGAATTTTCCATTACCTAGGAATCTGAAATTTGAAAACAAAACCTCACATGCTATACCTTATCATCACCAAACGCTCTGGTAGATCCTCTTCAGCGGCCAGACCAAGAGAGAAGACTTTGAATAAGCAAGGTGTTATTGATATGTTAAATAATCAATCAATAGATGTAGAAAGTCAATTCTATTATACGATTGTATTA